TGCAAAGAAAAGTCCTCAGCAAAGAATAAATTGGTGACTACAAACACGAAGACATAAAGGTGGTTTCTACTCTGAAAACCTCGTCGTTTCCTTGACCGTCACAAAATCCTTTTGAGAGATGAACACTCATGTTGAATTAACTGAACATAGGGTTGGAGAACATCATGAAGAATGGGTGGGCACCAAATATTTTGAGCCTTAAATCTTTTTTTTCTAAAACCATGAACCAGGCCACGTTACGACCTTCAAAAGTCCTAATTGAAGCAAGGTTATTTTGAAAGCATACTTCAATGAGATGGTGTTCCTGACTCCCATGAATGTCCTAAATAGTTATGTTGGTATCATATGTTTTTCCTATACAAAAGTAAATGGTGCTTTAGCTCGCAAAATTTGTGTGATATCTTTTCAAAATCTTCAAGACTTACATAACTGTTGCATTAGAATTTTCATTCTCATAATAAAATTTTCTAACTGCAAAACATTTGTTTGATGTCAAGGAAGCTCACATAAGCATCAGTGATGAGTTTATTCTTTTAATGCCTGAAACTATGTTGAGCAATTGGCGGATCATTTCAAGGAAAAAATCATATGCAGGGGCATGTCACATGAAAACCTTAAGCACAGACATGTTGTTTCTCCCAGTTAATGCTTTTCCCAACTTGTTTACTCTTTTGGGGAAAAATTTTAAGACTTGGTTGTGCCAACTACAGTCAATTCGGGGCAATCACGTCGAGATTTATTGAATCTCTCTAAGAGTTTGAAGACACCAGAGCATGGTGAATGCCAGGTCTTTTGTAAAATCCTCTTGAGACGATTTCTCCTCATCAACCATATAGCTTGGGGCATGTTAGAAGTGAAGCTATTCGCAAGAATTGTCGTGCAGCATGCAGCTTATCAGCAGTAAACTTGGGGCATCCAAAATTAATCCCAGGGGCAATCCAGATTTGTCAAGATATGTTTTTCCTATATTATCAGAGGGTGGTGTTCCCAATATCTCCAGCTAAGCAAGACTTCTTTCCAGCTGAAACTTTGTTTGTGTTGTTATCCTTTCAATGGATTGTTTGCAATAGAAGACTAGACTTTGGGTCTTCTACCGGAAAATATCTTCCTCTCCAGAGATATTTAAGCCTTGTAAAAGGACTTTGCTCCAATGATGGCCTGTGTTTTATCTCCAGTAATGTTCCCATCCTGTTGAGATTAGCCAAGTGTCGAGCTGTACTATGACGTATTATCATCTTCAGTCTATCTCCCCTGTCTGTTTTGTCAGCATATACATGACATTCATTTATTCATTCACACTTGCATCATGCATGCACAGTTGTATTTGTTGATGTCATTGAGTCTGTACACCTTGGTTATGTCTATTCAAATAACATATTTGATCTTTCCAAATAGAGTGTCAACTTAAGCATAAAGTGTGCTTTCTTTCTAATTCCCCACTGAGTTAACTCTCGTGGAAGAATCTTGCTTTAGCTTTCCTTTTCCATCTCTGGATAGGATAAATCCCCATTTTAGTTATTTCCTCATTGGGTGGAGTCTTGTTTGACTGTTTTCTCTCCAGTTTATTCCTGGATTGAGCTGTGTCTCTTGTGAATGATACCTTGTGGATCTCTCTAGGCTGTGAAACCTAGATGGAGAGTGCATTTATTTTGCAATGTAAATACTTGGTCTCCTCAAGAAGGATTTACTCATGGTTCCCCATTGAAGATGAACTTTATTCCCCAATAGTGTTATCACAACCCTCTTCTGGAATATCGACATGACAACAAGCGACTGACTCTTTATTCGAGCAGTTTGATTATTTCTGATTTCTCTACGACAAATGGCGGTCTCTTCATGAACAGTTTGTCCATCCCCGATGAAATTATTGGTTCTCACCTCCAGCAATATCTTCACGATATTTTATGGGTATCTTTGTGGGAAACAGCAAGCGGCAGTTTCTTCATGAGACAACTTGTGTGTTATGGATACTCTTGACAAACAGCAAGCGGCAGTTTCTTCATGAGACAACTTGTGTGTTATGGATACTCTTGACAAACAGCAAGCGGCAGTTTCTTCATGAGACAACTTGTGTGTTATGGATACTCTTGACAAACAGCAAGCGGCGGTCTCTTCATGAGCAACTTGTGGGTTATTTTTCTCTTGAAAAACATCAAGCGGCGGTCTCTTCATGAGCAACTTGTATTGTTATTGTTACCTTTGAAAAAACATCAAGTGGCGGTCTCTTCATGAGCAACTTGTGTGTTATTGTCACCTTCGAAAACATCAAGCGGCAGTCTCTTCACGAGACAACTTGTTATGTTATTAACAACTTTAAAAACAACAAGCGGCGGTCTCTTCATGAGCAACTTGTATGTTATTGATACCTTGAAAAAAACAACAAGCGGCGGTGTCTTCATGAGCAACTTGTGTGTTATTGGTAATTTTGAAAAGAAACAGCAAGCGGCAGTCTCTTCATGGACAACTTGTATGTTACCAACACTTTTAAGAAACAGCAAGCGGCAGTCCCTTCATGGATAACTTGTATGTTATCAACACTTTTTGAAAACGGCAAGTGGCGGTCTCTTCATGAGCAGCTTGTACGGAAAACGGCAAGTGGCAGCTTCTTTATGAGCAGCTTGTGGGTTATTGGCAACAAGTGGCAGCTTCTTCATGAGTAGCTTGTGCGTTTTAACATTCTTTGAAGACGGCAAGTGGCAACTCTTCATGAGCAGCTTGTGGGTTATAAGCAACAAGTGGCAGTTCTTCATGAGCAGCTTGTGTATTTTAATATTCTTTGAAGACAGCAAGTGGCGGCCTCTTCATGAGCAGCTTGTATGTTATTGGCACCTTTGAAAGGAAGCAAGTGGCGGCCTCTCTATTTGAGCAGCTTGTGTATCCCCAACAATAATGTCTGCTCAGCAAATGGCATCCCTTTCGGAAAAGTCTCGTGGGGAAGTTTGTTATTTTATCTTTTTCAAGCGATATCTTGGTTAAAGAAGAAATGTGTTACCGTTCTTGGTAAAACTCAGAAATCAGAGATGTTTATTTCCAGCCACAGTGCTGATGTCAATCATTTTGTTTTCCAGCCACAGTGCTGATGTCAATCATTTTGTTTTCCAGCCACAGTGCTGATGTCAATCATTTTGTTTTCCAGCCACAGTGTTGATGTCAATCATTTTCCAGTCTCAGTACTGATGTCCATCATTTCCTTTTCCAGTCATAGTGCTGATGTCAATCATTTTGTTTTCCAGCCACAGTGCTGATGTTAATCATTTTCCAGTCACAGTACTGATGTCAATCATATGCTTTTCTAGTCACAGTACTGATGTGAATCATTACCTTTTCCAGTCTCAATACTGATGTAAATCATTCAAGAGTCTCTCATCTGAAGTCTATGACTTTGTTTCCCCGGTGGAGTTACAACCTCTTCCTCTGTGGGATTACTGTATAATGTGCTTGGTTTCTCCAGCATAGTTTGTCTCATGCAGCATCGTTCCTCATTAAATTCAAAATATTACATTCATATCATATCATAAACATAATTGTGGTATCTTAAGGCCAAAAATTATGTATTCTATATTTAAGTCCCTTCAATCTCGTCGAAATGAAGATTCCAATCTTCATATCTCCAGATAGAAGAAACTTAAATAGGGGCATCTGTTATACCCTAATTTTTGACCTAAGATCCCGCATTCCATCCGCATCATTACATAGCAAGTGTTCACAGGCGATTCGACCTATTTTTGCCAATTCCCGAGTCAGATTTCAAAAATTCATAACTTCTTCAAGTTTCAATATTTTGAGGGGTTATTTTTTGCATATGATTTTTCTTGACACCATCTACAATTTTTCTTTACAAGACAAGAGATGATTATGCATTGAAAAGCCACGAAAAAGTTATTAACGTTCGAAGTTGTTTCACGAATTTAATGGAATTTGATTCTTAATTTTGGACTATGTTTTATCCGACCATAAATTTTACACTTTCTCTTCTCTTATTTTTAATTCCATGAAAAATCATAAAAAAATATATTTAGTTCATGTCATCTTAATTTTATTTACATTATTATTCAAAATATCAAAAAAAGTAGTCTCTTCAAGTTTCATTTAGATTTTTATTCTTAAGTCAAAATTATAGTCTTCTAGATTTAATTTAGTAAAAATCTCAACAAAAAAAAAGTCTTAGCATTATTTTATTTTAGCATTTCACTTTAATCACAAAAAATATATAGTTAATATCTTTTCCTTTTAATTCTTTTAGTTATTATAATTTTCATTTTTCTTTCTTTCAATATTAATCTTGATTTGGTTCTAATTTTAATTCAACTTTTTAGTTGAATTATTATTAAAATTAAAATTAATTTTAATTTCTCTTTAATTTTCATGTTTTGGAAATTTTTAGTTTAATAATTTTTATTTTTTATTTTATGTTATTATCATTGTTATTATTATGTTATTCCTCTCCTTGTAAAAAATGTCCAAACAATAAAATTAGTCCAAAACCATGCTATTGTTCCTATCCTAACTGTCCATAAAACCCAAACATGCTACACAACAAAACTTGCTGCTACTTCACTCCAAAACCTGCATAAAAACCAGTCTGCAAACAACCTTTTTACTACCTTTGCTGTCCAAAAAGCTTGCCCAAAATGAAATCACAAATCCCTGCATCAAGAAAGCACAAGGAAGTTGACATAAACCAGAATTCAACTGATATTTGGCTCCAATTTTCCCTCCAATTCTATCATACACTCACAATAAAAACAAAAGCAAATGGTGAAGAGTTGAGAGGAGGTTGTCACCTAATTCCTGCAATAGCAGTAGGAAAAAAAGAAACAAAAAATAGAACAATCTACCCCTCTCTTCTCATTCTCCTTCTCACACTTTCCCATTCTCTCCTCACGTTCATCACCATCTCCACCTCCATACTGATGCATATATGCTCTACTTTCCAGGATTACTTTGTAGCCTAGATTTTCTGCATTTCTATAAGTTTCAGCATTTTCCTAACGAAAAGAATGTCTTCTGGAACGGCAACGGTTGTTTCTTGCGCGAAATTGAAGGACACTGAATGGATTTCAAGACAAGATCCCTACGTTTGTCTTGAATACGCTTCCACCAAGTTCCGGACAAGAACCTGCACAGACGGTGGAAAACATCTGGTGTTTCAAGAGAAGTTCGTTGTGCCGCTGATCGAAGTTCTTCGTGAGTTCACTGTTGTTGTTTGGAACAGCAATATCCTCACATTCGATGGTTTTATAGGCACGGGAAAGGTTCAATTGAACAAGGTTTTGTCTCAAGGTTTTGATGATTCTTCTTGGCCGCTTCAAACCAAATCTGGAAGGCACGCAGGTGAAGTCAAACTTATATTGCATTCTGCTAATGCCAAACTAAATCAACAGAAACTAGATTCTTCCTCAACCCATGTGGCAACAACACCCCTTCCTTCCTCTTCCTCAAAACAAAACCCCAAACCCATACACAATGATGCACCACCACCACCAACAACAACAACAACATCGTCGACATCGACATGGTCAAAACCAAACAAGGAACCTACGTACCAAAACAGAACAAAGTCGTTGTCCTCTGGGACCTCGACAACAAACCCCCACGCGGTCCACCGTACGACGCCGCACTCTCTCTCAAAACCCTCGCCGAACGCTTCGGCGAACTCACCGACATCTCCGCTTACGCCAATCGTCCCAAATCTTCCACCTCCTCTCTCCGATATCATCACCATCGTAGCACCATGCTTTCATCTCCCTCAAACCCACAAATCTGCCTCCACCTTCAATTTTAATTCCACCTAACATTTGTCCAATTTCTGCCCAGCTATGAGCGCTTCTGTTCCCAACCACCTTCGCTGGTAACTCACCTTCGTTCCTCTCTCAACAATCTTCAACAACTCAGGGTTCTTGATTTGCACAGTAACGAACTCTGGGATGACATTGGTGACCTTCTTCCCACTCTTCGGAACCTCGAGTTCCTAGATTTGAGTCAGAATCAGTTCTATGGTGGACTTTCCATTACTCTTGAGAATGTTTCCTCTTTGGCTAATACTGTTCGGTTTTTGAACGTCAGTCACAATAAATTGAACGGGAACTTCTTTCTGAAGGACGCAATTGGGTTGTTTCGGAACTTGCGAGCTTTGGATTTGAGTGATAATATGATTAGAGGGGAGCTTCCTTCTTTTGTTTCCTTGCGTGAACTTCGAGTTCTGAAACTTGCGAGTAATATTTTCTTTGGGGCTGTGCCGGAGGACTTGTTGTTGACTTCAATGTCTTTGGAAGAATTGAATCTCAGTTCCAATGGATTTACTGGCTCAATTGGGGTAATTAACTCTACCACTATAAATATTTTGGATCTTTCATCTAATAGTTTATCAAGCCCATTTTCATTTTACTACTCTTGCACCACTATTTCCATGCTTACACCCCACTCATTTCTTTTGTCTTATTTCTTTTTAATTAATTATTATGAGAACACGTGGTAACGGATAGATAGTTAGACTTTATCATGTAAATAATGCAAGTTTTCTATCATTTCATTTTTATCCCTCTTATGCTACTAACGCGTTTGTTACTGTGAAGGTTTCCAAAAAAATCGTTTCAAGTATCCATTCTCACATAACATATCCACAATTCTCATATTTCTCCCTTTTACCTTTTATTGTATTTTATTATTTTGATTTAATATTTGATACTGTAAATATATACTTGTATATAATATTTTGACTGTATATTTTACTTGTAAATAAATTCAGGTTTTCTTAAAAATATTATTTTCATCGCATTGTGATTTTATTTTAATTCCAACTAACTTCTGAAAATTATGCGGACGCACATAAGTTTCCCGTGCTGTTAGATTTTGTCGGTATACCTCTTGTGATGCAGGGGTTCTGATCTGACACCGTGAGCTTTATCCACCGCCTTTGCGCTTTATCTGATGCTTGGAGTATTATCTCACATTAGGTTTTTTGATGATGCTGTCGGCTTGTGATTTATTTTCACCTAAGGTTTGATATACTCTTAGCTTATTTATCCGTCTGTGGTTTTAACTCCAAGGAAAAGATTTAAACTTTGTTGACTTCATGTCATCGAACATATCTCATACGATTGCGCGAACCCCTTCATTCATTTTTTTTTTGCTTGTTTACTATTTTGCAAAACTCAAGATAATTCCCCAAAAGACCCCATTTTTCAAACTCACACCTTTTAAGTAAAAAACTTCGATACTAGGTCGTCGTATCTTCAAAATCTCTCCAACACCGATTTTTAGCCAAACGAACCATTTTAACCAAACAAACAATTTTAACGAAAAAACAGATATTTCAAAAGGTTCCTGCGGAGTACCGCAGATGCATTGGGTGCTAATACCTTCCCATTATATAACCAACCCCCGAACTCTCGATCTCTTTCAAAAACGCATTGTATTTTTATTACTTTTAAGTATTATTTTACATTGCATACTTTAGGGTTTTATTTTGCTCTTTTCCCTTTTCCCTTGGAAATAATAAAGCGCGGTGGCGACTCTTGCTTTTGTGAGTCAAGTTAATTAATAGCTTGATCTCCGATTTTCACCGCTACACTACCTCCTTCATCAGAAGACATGGGTATCTTCTCAGTTTGGTTACCTCCAAATTGGACGAGCAGATGATGAGTGTTTTGGTCCAATTCTATGATCCGATGTACCATTGCTTTACTTTCCAGGACTACCAGTTGGTTCCCACCTTAGAAGAGTTCTCTGATCTGCTCGGTATCTCTATTCTGGAGCAGACCCTGTTTACTGGTTGGGAGAAGATCCTTAGGCCAGAAGAGATTACTTCAGCCCTTCATATGACAAAGGATGAGGTAATGGCTAATTGGGAAACTAGAAGTGGAGCAAAGGGCTTTCTGACTAAGTTCTTGGTTGGTAAGGCTAATTATTTCTGGGATAGTCTAGACTTCAAGACATTCGAAGATATTCTGGATCTTCTGATATACGGCTTGATATTGTTTCCGAATCCTGACTCCTTTTTTTATGTGAATACGGTGAAAATTTTCATCTCTCGTAATCCTGTACCCACTATCTTGGGCGATATTCTTCATCAGCTTTATGCCCGTACTGGCCGAAAGCGGGGAATCCTGATGTGCTGTGCTCCATTATTGGCGAGGTGGTTTATTTTGCACCTCCCCAAATTAGTGCTGAAGAACAAAGAAGGCATGGGCTGGGCTTATAGGGTTATGTCTCTCTCTCATAATGACATCATCTGGACTATCAAGGGTATGGACGAGGTGGCTATCATTGATCGTTGTGGGGAATACCCCAATGTTCCACTGATAGGAACCCATGGAGGAATTTCTTACAACCCATGCTTGGCCTTACGTCAGTTTGGGCGAGCCAGAAGAGAAGGGCCTCACGAGCTGCTAATGCCTAGTATCATCTTTGATTTTCAAGGGGATAGTGACGAGCAACGCCGCAGATTCATAAGGGCCTGGGATAGAGTTCAAAGATCTTATCCACATGAGTTGGGCCCAAAGACTTCTCTTCCGATGGAGCCATATCTCAGATGGGTTCGTATCCGTGCCCAAAAGCTGGGTATGCCGTATGAAGTCGTCCTGCCTATCATTGTTGAAGTTGCTAATGAAGAGGGGGTTCTTCCTACCATCCTCCATCCTTACATGCCCACTGACATTGGGGCACTGAAAAGGTCTTGGATGCAGCTGAAAGAAGAACGGGATGCTTACCAAGAAAAGTTTAACGAGCAAGAGCAGAAGATCTAGAAGTTGACTAGGCAGCTGGAGAATGAGCGAATCCTCAATGACTATGTCCGCACCGACAAGAAACGACCATGGGAGCATTGATTGTCCTTTGATTATTTCCTTTCCAGTTTTTATTTACTTTTCAGTATTTCCTTCCTTGTGACGCCTTAAGGGAAATTTGTTGAACAATTTGAATTTCAAAGTTTATCTAATAAAAGTGTGTTTCCTTTTTGTTTATGAATTTGAATCTCTCAATTGTCTTTGAAGTCATATCATACGCATTTCATCCCATGCACTTCATAACAGGTACCCATTACAGGTCTCTTATCTTCTTCGTTGTTTATTTCAACACTCAGCATGTCTGCTGAACCATCAACTGAGCAAGCAATCAAGGCCCTACAGGCTCAAAATGACCAATTTCAAGAGCTGTTCATGAATCTAGCTAAGGGTCAGCAAGATCTGAAGACCCTGATTCTGAAAGAGAAGAAGAAGAAGAAGAAGTGGACAGTCCTGTTTAACACTGGTCACAGGTTTAGAAACAGGCTACGGGATGAAGTTGATTTGACCACCTCATCTAGACGGAAAGATAGTCAAGAAGAAAGAAGGGCTCCTAGCCCTGTGGTCTCAGACAACGAGGCGGACTTCGACGAAGACCAGTATCCTCCTGCTGAGGATAGATACAAATAATTGGAAGACCAGTTGAGTGCGATGGAAGTTCAGAAAGTGCCTGGTCTGGACTTTGGTGATCTGGGTCTATCATTTGGGGTGGTAATTCCCCACAAGTTCAAGGCACCAGCCTTTGCTAAGTATGACGGAGTTTCTTGTCTGAAGCTGCACCTCCGGTCATATGTAAGGAAGATTCAGCCGTACACCGCTGATAAGAACCTATTGATCCACTTCTTTTAAGACAGCCTCTCAGGGACTCAGCTTGAATGGTTTTACCAGTTGGACGGCGCCAGTATCCGCAGTTGGGAAGATTTGGCTACTGCTTTCTACAGGCAGTACCAATACAATTCCAACATTGCTCCCACGCGTACCCAGCTCCAGGGTATGTCAATGGGAATGGGTGAAGGTTTCAAAGATTATGCTCAAAAGTGGAGGGACCTCACCGGAAGAGTGCAACCACCCTTGGCTGATCGGGAGCTTGTGGATATGTTTCTGAGGACCTTGTCTGGTCCATTTTTCAACCATCTGATTGGAAGCTCTTCGTCTGGGTTTACAAAGCTAATTATGACCAGTGAGAGGATTGAGGCTGGTATTAAGGCTGGTAAGATACATAAGGGTGCTTCATCAAGCACCGAGAAGAAGCCTTTTAAGAAGGAGGCCAGTGTTGTCTACAGTTCGAGAAGCCAGAATAGACCTGAACACCGTCAAGTTGTTAATGCGGTTGTTATTTCAAGACCTACTGGTACTCCTCAGCACAACAATCAACAAAAGGCCGAGAGACCTCGAAGGCAATTCACCCCTCTCAACATGACTTTATCTCATATTCTGCCACAGTTATTAAAAACCCACCTAGTGATTCCAAGGGAAGCTCCGAAGAATCCAAATACAACATCACCGAAGTATAACCCTAATGCTCACTGTGCTTTTCACTCTGATAGCCCGGGGCATAATACAGATGATTGTTGGTCTTTGAAGAACAAAATACAGGACTTAATTAATGCTAAGGAGATTGAGTTCGAGGCGCCCGAAAGACCTAATGTTGTGACTGCTCCTATGCCTAGGCATGGAGTGAATGCTATAGAAGAGGACTCGTTTGTGGTTTCTGTGAACGACATTATTACCCCTTTGATGACTGTGAAGAAGAACCTTTTGCTAGCCGGTTTATTTCCAGGATGTGACGAAGGTTGCCGTATGTGTTCTGTTCTACCTACCGGTTGCCATCTTTTGAAGTCAGGTGTCCAACGCCTGATGGATAGTAAAGAAATTCTGTTTGAGAAGACTGTTGTTCCTTTAGTCCCTACTGAAGAAGTTGCTATTATTACCATTTTCGACGATTCTTCCAAGGCTTACTCGAGAAAGCCTGTTAGAATTACATTTGTTCCAAGAATCGCACCATTGATCATCACCATTCCTGGGCCTATCCCCTACACCTCTGATAAAGTTGTCCCTTGGAATTACGGGGCCGATATTTATTTCATGGAGTTAAACAAGAGTTAGATGTTGATACTGACATCAGCAATATTGTTGGACCTGCTAAAGTCACCCGCAGCGGAAGACTTTTCTCACCTGATATCTCTCCACCAACTTCCCGAAAACCTGTTGTTATTACACCTGCCAGTGTACCTGCTACTATTCCTGTTCAAGTTCCCATTCTCACCCCTGTCGCCGAGTCATCTAATACTTGGGACAAAGGGACCACTGATGAGCCTGCCCAGATGGAGGTACCAAAGACAATTACTGTTGAAGCTTCTAGACAAGAGATGGAAGAGATTCTGAAAATCATCAAAAAGAGTGACTACAATGTAGTTGAACAGTTGGGGCAAACCCCGTCCAAAATCTCTATGTTGTCACTGTTGCTATGCTCAGAGGCCCATGCCAAGGCTCTGATTGCATTCTTAAAGACTACACACGTACCGCAAGAGACATCGGCTGATTAGTTTAAAGATTGCCTGGCTAGTCTGACTGCTGATAATGGTTTGGGTTTCTCTGACGCCGACTTGACTGCTAAAGGGAAGAATCACAATGATGCCCTGCATGTCTCCATTGAATGTAGGGGCACTACTCTTGCTCATGTATTGGTGGATATTGGTTCCTCATTGAACGTCTTGCCTAAGAAAGCTCTGGACCGGTTGGATTGTGAAGGGTTGGAGTTGAAACCAAGCAACATTGTCGTCAAGGCCTTTGATGGGTCTAAGAGAATGGTGCATGGGGAAGTTGACATCCCAATCAAGGTTGGTTCTCAGGTTTTCAACTCTACATTCTATGTGATGGACATTCATCCATCTTATTCTTGCTTGCTGGGTCGCCCATGGATCCACAAAGCTGGGGCCGTAACCTCAACGCTCCATCACAAGTTGAAGTACCCGGTCAAAGGGAAAATTGTGACAGTGCTAGGAGAAGAGGAGTACATGATGAGCCACCTCAACTCTTTCCGATATGTAGAGATGGATGAGGAGTTCATTGAGACCCCATTTCAGCATTTTGAAGAGGTTCCC